ATTTAGGGCTTTTCTTGTAATTTCTATAACTTTGCAAAGAAAGGTCGTGTACAGCTGGGAGATGTCTCATTTTAATCAGAAATTTGTGGGCTGTCTCATTAAGACAGGTTTTTGTTACTTTTTAAAGTTTCTGAAAAAATGGAGGATAAGTCCTGTTAGGGTTTTTACTAGCTCGCTATGGTCTATCGATCGACATATAAATTATCGGAATCGGAGGTCAGCATGTCCATAGGTTCCCTCGTAAGTCATAGTCACAGGTCTTCCCGTCATTTTAGAACCAGCCCAAAGCTCGGACAATTAAAATACAGGAGAAATATGGGAAATAGCAATATGACCGTTACTTTTGAGATAACTTTGGAAAAACTTCAGTTTAAAAGTTAAATGTTTATCCTAATCTAATCTAGGTAAGACTAAAAATTAACAAACTTAGATGCTGGTAAATTTTAGAAAATTGTATTGGCCTAAACTATCTGCGTCGAGCTGATAGATTTGAAAGAAGACTCTGTGATCCAAGTTGAAACGACAGTAAAAAGTGCATGAGATAATGTGAGAAGCAAGTTTTTTAATAGAAAGGAAAACTAGCTGTGCAAGGCACAACGATAACCAAATTTAGGAAGAATACAGGAAAGAAAGACGATGCCGAACATCTGATTTAATTAATCCAAAAACACAATTCAACGCGTCCAACTTGCATCGGAAAACTCACCCCCGATAAACAAGAATTTAGAGCAAAAAAAATGTGAAAAATGCACTAAACTTTGTCCGCAAGTATGCCCAATGCTCATTGGGTAGAAACAAATCAACACTAGAACAGCTTTCGTGATGTTAAAAGACTTTTCTTTTCAGTAGTCGTAAATACAAATTTCAGCAGTTGTTAACACGCAGAAAAACGGAAGATTTGATCGTCAAAAATATACTCAAAATGTTTACAAATACTGAAATATGTGTTTACAACTACTGAATGTGTATTTACAACCACTGAAAACTGAGTTTATAACTACTGAAAATGGTTACAACTACTAAATAAAAATAGCTTAAAACGCAGAAATCGTCTATCTATAAAAGTAAACTTCAAACGTCCATCTCCTTCGGAAAGTGGACATGTCCTTGGAAGTTTTCACAAAAAAACATCAGCAAAGGAACAGGTTTTACAATTGGGAGGAACGGACAGTGGAAGATCATTGATAAAATAAAGAAACAAAGGAAGACCAAGCACACTATCCTGAGGTACACTAGAAAGAACTTGAGAAGGAGAAGAGACAGTCATTTACACGCATACACCACAAACATTGGAGAGGTAGCAAGACAAAAGAGAAAATAAACAACCACTCATATGATAACAAGACAATTTTCCTAGTAGAAAAACGCCTTCGATCGCCTATTAACCCTTTGGCGACGGGAAGCCCATATATAGGCAAATGTAGCGACACTCCTGTAACTCAAGAATCAAAAGAGCTAGTGACTTCTAATTTTGTGTGGTCATAGCTCTTACCGAATGCTGACCATTCACCAAGTCTGGGTCTCTTTTACTGGATGGTTCGTGAGATATAAATGATTTATTTCTTTTCCGTAAAATATCAATAGCTCCTCATCTAAGAAAGATAAAAACTTTTTCTTTTTACTAAAATGTAGCCACGACTCTACTCTATCTACGATATGAATTTCGTGAGTTGATAGTTATTAGTCAGTTAAATACAGTTATTTAACGGGCGAGGTTCGTGGTTTTTTGTTGAAAATTCGAGCTCCTTTGCGAAAAAAAATTCACAACTCAGTCTAGGAGCATCATTTTGACTTCAAATTCACAACAAAGGCTCTACAGTATCTGCAGATTATCTAGCCAAAGTATGAAGATTAACTATTGTGTGCTTCTGAAAATTCATTGAGAACGAGCACCCACGATTGAAACATACGTAGAAGGGCGAGGGTGGCGAACTAAGGGTCACTCTTTATACTATAGAATTTGCATGCAATGTACATCATAATCATGAAAAAATAATCATAGAAACCTATGATTCCGAAAAGCGTATGGGAAACTTTTATCAGAAAGATTACATACTCACCTCTGACCTTCGCCATTTCACTTATTTTGCGTCCTTTTCACTTCCGTTATATTTTCAAGCAAAAGTAATAACATATTTGAGATCAGCAGACAAAACTCGGTCTAACAGCATACTTAACATTCGGTTTTCAAACAAACAAAATTTTATTGATAATTTTCTCTCCGGTGGGAAGACCGGACGTATATATACGTCTCCCGTCGCCAAAGGGTTAATATAAAAAGGTCTTTGTTAACCAAGCCGACAACAATTTTTCTATTAATAGCGATGAAATTTAGAAAATAGAGGCGATTAAGTCAAAACTACTTTTGATAGCTATGGAATTATGATCGAAACTGCAAAACGGAATGAGACAAGACATTCGTCCTATTGGACTCTCTAAACAAATTGCATTTTAACGTTCTACACTACATATTTCATACCAATCGCAAAATTCATCCGAATACTACAAGATCAACGTTCGACATTTTTTAACAAGTCATCTTGTTGAAAAAACATTTTATTTTAACAAAGGCAATTTTAGTATTAGAAAAAATAGTCCTCAAAACCAATTTTATTATTTACTGACACAACGAAATAACCAATCAGACAAGTAACTAAGACAATCATAACCGATTACTTTTTGCCTCTAGGAGTAAGTATTTTAGCGTAGTTTGAATTATCAACGAATTAGATCACTCGTCGTCAACATGTTTTTACCTGAGAGAATGCCATGGATGACTTCGCCGAAAGGATAGAAAGTTTTCAGAATTCTAGCATTAACTTTGGTTTTGTACTGACTCATTCAAAGTTAATGAGCGATAAAGTAGAAATTTTCATGTTTGATATTTGTGGACTTTTTGGTCAGACAAACATTTTCTCACTTTCTGTTCTGCACTTATTTTTAAAAGTTCAGTACATACTTTTTGATCCATCTTAAGCAAGGGGATTATCGTACGTATATATCACTACTATAATAGCACTGCTATTTTACCACTATGAGTTTTTCTACTATTATCATCTAGTTGATGACTATATTTTATATTTTTTTGTTTCTTTACTTTTATTTGTAGATTTTAGCTAACATTTCTCTACAACGCTAACACTCCGTCTGCTTTAACATGAAAGCAAAAGGTAATTTGCGAGAATATCGAATAATTGGGCGAAAACTACCAAGTGAAACGGTTAAGAATCCACCGTTATATGAAATGCATATTTATGCACCCGATGAAGTTCAAGCTAAAAGTCGTTTTTGGTTTTTTATTCGACAATTGAAACGTATTAAAAAGAGTGCTGGTGAAATTGTTGAGTGTAAATTAATTAATGAACGTAAACCACTGTTAGTGAAAAATTTTGGTATTTGGTTAAGATATGATTCTCGTAGTGGCACACACAACATGTACCGTGAATATCGTGATTTAACACGTGCTGCAGCTGTCACACAATGTTATCGTGATATGGGTGCGAAACATCGTGCTCGACCATCAACAATACAAATAATGAAAATAAAACGATTGCAAGCAAAAGATTGCCGTCGTGTACATGTAACACAGTTTCATGATAGTAAAATTAAATTTCCAATGGTCAACAAAGCAACAAAACGTTTACATCATCCTCGTTTTACAACAAGACGACCACATACACATTTTTAAATTAAACGATCACAACAGTTAACAAATGAATCGATGTCCAGTTGCTTTTTCTCGGTGTTGTCGTTGTTTTGTTGTATGTGACGAAGAGAACTGGATTTTAAAATAAAAAACCACATACTATTAACTCTTATTTATTCAGGCATCTAATTAGCTCTTGTACTCTCTAAGTGTACTGTTCTACGTTTAGTTTCCGAAACAATCTTATTTAATATTTTTCTCTTCAGATAGGTGCAGCTAATGTTAAACATGGGATGAAAAAGGTGGCGAACGGGGCACAAACGGCGACACATAAGTCAACGAACAGCCTCAGCGTCGTCACTCCGTTTATAAAACCACCTGAATCATCTACTATTTATTACAACAAAATGAATCGTAATCTTCCGCAAACTGGTGCTATTGGAAAAGGATCAACGTCATCCTACGGACCAACGGTGGGTACAGTAACTAATCAAATTCAATATGGCAGTATGAATATTGCACATGGTGCGCATCCATCAAGTAGAAGTCATCAAATACCTCCGGAACGAACATTGAATAGTCGACCTTCAAAATTTGATCGGGTAGAAGTAACATCGCCAGTTCTTCGTCGAAATAGTGTACAACGTGCATTAACTGATAATACGACGATTCGAACACGTTTATCAAGTCAAGATAGAACATCATTAGTATGTATATAATCTTATTTCTAGTAAGAAGTGTAGATGTTGATATTTTCATTTTATAGCTTTCTCATAAGCCTTACACGAATGGTGTTATTAACGAATCATCACATGACCATCCTCCTATCAAATCAAAATCACCAACGCAGTCTTCTGTATCGAACTCTTATATGATCCCTGTAGACTATCCATCAGCGTTTGTTATATCAATTGAATCAAAACTAATGCATGGTGGTTTAACAGGACTGGCAAACCTTGGAAATACGGTTAGTTTTCTCTACATCTATTTGATTATTAAATGGTTTATCTTTTTTGCGTTACAGTGTTTTATGAATTCTGTTCTACAATGTTTGAGTAATACGAAACCGTTATTATTGTTTTGTTTTGATGATAATCTCGAAAGTTCACTAAATTCATCCACGACAAGTGTAATGAAAGGTGTCTTAATGAAAGGTAAAAACTAGAATTATTTTGTTTTAGTACTCTTTATTGCAGTTTTATTGTTTTTAGAATTTGCCACTTTAATCAGACGTATGTGGTCATCTACCGAAAGTCGTTCAATAGTTAGTCCATCTCAATTCAAAAATCAAATAGCAAGATTTGCTCCACGATTTACAGGCTATTAGTATGTTAAAAAGAAATTCATAGTCTAAAAAAAAATGATTATTTTGCATTTCTAGTGAGCAAGATTCACAAGAATTTCTTCGATATTTATTACAAGGACTTCACGAAGATGTAAATCGTGTTAAAAAAAAATCGACACCAACCAAAATTGATGAAAAAGCTGAAGAACAAATGCAGTAAATATTTATTTTTTACTATGATATAATTACAACAGAAAAATATTTTTCTTTTTTTCTTTTCAGTGAAAAAAATCGTGCTAAATTAAGTTGGGACAGATACTTGAGTACTGACAATAGTATGATAGTGGGTATGTATTTGCAAAAAGATTCACTCACTTTTATATTTTTCAAACGGTTTTTATCTTTTAGAAATATTTGTTGGACAGTTAAAAAGTACACTCGAATGTTGTTATTGTGGATATCAATCTATAACATTTGATCCCTTTTGGGATCTTTCTGTTCCTTTGCCTCGGGTAAGTTTTAGTAAATATATTTGAAAAGTATTAATACATACCTTTTCTCTTCCATTGTTGTTTAGAACAAATCAACTAGTACGTTACAACAATGTATTCAATTATTCATGAGTAAAGAAGAATTAGATGGAAACGAAAAAGCAGTAAGTTTAGTTTGCAAAAATCAAAAATTTTCATCAAATTGTAGAAACTGATTGACAGAACAAACTCTGACTATTTTTCTTCTGATATAGATGTGTGCTAAATGCAAGCAGAAGCGTCGATGTACAAAAAAATTTTCCATACAAAAATGTCCAGAAATATTAGTTTTACATTTAAAACGTTTTTCACAATCACGTGGACGAACTAAGCTGAATACAATGATTGATTTTCCCATCACTGATTTAAGATTAAATGATTTAACAGATGTCTTATCCGAAAGTTATGAGGGTAAATAAGAAGCCTTTCTGAGAGGTACATGTTGTATTTTGTCAATTATCTTTTTAGGGCCTGCTCCAGTTTATAGTCTTTTTGGCGTTTCAAACCATAGTGGAACTCCTTACACAGGGCATTATACAGCGGCTTGTAAACACCCTTTTCAATCCAAATGGCATGAATTTAACGATTCAAGGTAGACCTATAACTTATTATTAATGTTTTGAAGGATTTTACATACAGCATCGAAAAAACGTATTCTTTCTTTGTAACTCGTAAACCACGCGATCTTATGACTTGAAATTTTGTGGAAATAAAGTTTATGTGAAATACTAGTCGTCTACAAAGTTTCGGTTAGTTGGCACTCATCATTGCGACTTTATTGCCTTTTCGAAATTTCGTTTTTAAGAGTTGTTCATTTATGTCGACCCATTTTGTGCTAATCCTCTTGAATGATTCGACTTATTATGATAAAATTTTGTATACATGTTGTACGGATATTGCTGTAAATTAAGTAAAGTCAGAGCATTAATTCTAAGGATCACATGAAATCTTTCTCACGAAAGAGGCGATTTTCAAAAGATGAGTCCATTAAATATGAAATTACTTTAAGTTTTTGAAAACTCGCGACTAAGGCATAAAATTGATACTGAAAATAGCAGAAAATGAATGACAGATCCTTCGGACTCTAATTCACGTATTTAATCGTCAACGATCGAAACTTTGCAGACGATCGGGATTTCACATGAACTTTATTTCCACAAGATTTCAAGTCATAAGTATATGAGTCTCAAATACTTTTGTGGGGTGTTGTGTCAGTTTATTGAGTGTTTCTGCATCTATTGTTAATTCCTTACGTTTATTATTTAGTGTTTATCAGTTGAGTCAACCATCACGCATCATTAGTCCGGATGCTTATGTATTGTTTTATGAGAGAGTTCGATAACACAACCACCAGTTACTTTCAGTCGTTAACAGTAAATGGAAAACTAATGTACAAGGTAAACAAATTGAAAATTGATCAACAATTTAAAAAAGAGAATTAAGTTGAAAAGTTTTTTTTTTTTATTTTATTTATTTTTCTCTCTGGAAGAGTGAAATCTCATTTCTTGTTTTGTTGGTTCTATTTTACAATGTTTCTTCTTAAAATATAAACGAATGAATTAATGTGTATATTTTCTTCTTGTTTTGTTTGTAAGCAACGCACCCTAGTTTTTTCTTTTCGTTTTCTTCAATTTAACATACAATCTAACCTTTCTTTTAGTACGATAACAAGTTTTTATCTAAGTAATTTTATCGGTTTTCTTTCTGACATTTGAACAACGTAATGTTTCTAATTGATTACATTTAATGGTAAATGTATATGCAAAAAAACATTACTACCATCGATCTTCGTGTCGAGAAAATGAGTGCTACTCATCGAAAAATACACGTTTTCTTTCTTTCCTCGAAACACATGTTATTTCCTGTTGCTACCTTTTTCCTCTTGTTTTGTTTTTTTGTGGATAACCATTTTGTTTTTATATTTCATATTTATAGCACAAATACTATTTTTGTTTGCTCGTTTGTTTTATCTTCTAGTTCGCATAATACGAATAAAAAAGCTATTAAATGTATACGTTGAAGTAGACAGTCCCTCTGAATATTGGCTAAGAAAAAACATGAAAGACAATGTGTTCATCATTATTGGACGTTTTATTGAAGGCAAATTGATTTTAAATCTAACTTTTTGTTTATTTCATTATTTGTAGTATTTGTGGGACATGCTTTAGTGAGAATTTGACAAAATCCTGCGTAATTTATTTGAAAATAAAAATACTGATCAGTTATCATTCTAATCATTCGAAATGAAATTTTTTTATCCAAAAGTAACTTTCTGCATTGAAATATCGTTTATACCATTTCCATATCTGAGAAAGAATCGGAGCGATGATTTAACGATCAAGATCTGCTAAAATATAAAGAGAGTGCTTGTCATTTGTTCAAAGAGCGGAACAATAGTACGCAAAATGCATCAAGATAATATACACCCTTAGAATACTCACAACAGACGAGTTCATTCTACTAATGAAATAAATGAGTCTTTTGAATGTACTGTTAGGCGGAAGATCATCTGACTGTTTCACGGTGAATAAAACAAGGAAAAATACTCATCACAAACATTTAGCGTAAGATAAGAGACTAAAAACTAAGTCATAGATAAAAGAAAAGCAAATAGAAAGTTCAATTTGACCTTTCATTCGTAGAGTGTCATAAGATCTGAAAATCGTGACGTAAACTACACGGCTGAAAATTAAGATCCATTTTTTTCGGGGATCCTGGTATTTCGACTATGGCGCAAAACATGATTGAGGGAACCGAGCTGATAGCAGAGGAGATTTTAAAAAGCATACTTATAGGTATAAAACAAGATGTCTCTTAAATTTCTACAATGTTCCTTTCAAATATTATAACATACACGAAAAGAGTAAAAACGGTAACGTACTCACACTCCTGTAGCAAAGGTACGCGATTTAACCGTACATAGCCTGTTACTTTTTTAAACAAAAATATATATACTTTTATCTAATAAGTTCTTTGTCTAAAATTTTTGTTCAATAAGAATATTGCATGGTATGTTAACGAAGAATAATTTGTTCATACTTTAGCAATAGTACGACGAGGATGAACAATCCACTATTAAAATAATTAGGGGAAATGATAATGATAACTTAGTGAAAAAAGTTTTAATTACATTATTGATAAGAAAAAACTGAACATATAATGATGTGGAATCTATGTCAGATTATCATACGTCTTATAGGTTCAAAGATGTTTCAAAAAACTTTTATACCATTAATTTTGATATTGTCATTAACCAAATTATGTTTATGGAAAAACATACCAAATAGTTCAATGGTAATTCGACCATTAGATATTATTGTAGGAAAAAAATTGTTTGAGCTTTTCCACACGACATCCGAAACAAATGAGAATGAAGTACAAGAATATGGAGTTAATTTTGATCACTGGTGTTACATATAATATTATAATTTAACTACATCATAGTGTAAACGATTTCAAAAGCAAATATATATAGGATCTGGTCTTTATAGTTCTCATTTTTGTTACATTATTCAACACTATTTGAGTGGAATATAATGAAATAAAAAGTATAGAAAGAGACTATCATACTTGTAGAGACCGAACGTTGGAGTCATTAGGTGACGATGAATAACACATCAAATATCAACATTCTTTTTATCGTATGATTATCAATTTATGGTTTAATATTGGTGATCGACTGAATATGACCATGGAGAGATAATAATGCTATGACAGATGCGAAAACTCCCTACTATCCTATCGATGAATGTCAGATATAATTTACCACTGTCATTCAATTTCATCATTTGTTTTCTATATATTTCTATCTATTTGAACAAGTTTATTCAGAGAATAGAAATCTCAGTTCAATAACTTTTTTTTCATTCTTCACATCTAACACATTTATAAAAATAAACTAAACAAAATTTCAAAATAATTAAGAAAATTTGAATACATACAAAAATGAAAAACAGATATTGAGCGATAGAAAATGTATTAACCTAAATATGAAAAAAAATAGGAATCAACGTAAACGGGAGATTGTCTCATATATCGTCCATGCCGTTGCTGCAACCAATGTTCGTCGAAAAGCACGTAGACCAAATCCTCGACCAAACTCAAGTATACCATGTTTCTAGCAAAAATACCCATATTCTCATAACTAAGTTTAATATATAGTACTTATTCTAATATTTACTTTAGTAATTGCTTTGATTGTCGAATAAACTGTTTTGTATTCTGTTGGTGCTATTTGACGATAAGTTTTAACAACATCAGCTGGATGGGTGAGAAACGTTGCAGTGATTCCAGCTGCAGTAGTAATTAAGACTTGAGCTGGAAGCCATTTGATAACTTGAATATTTGGATCTAGAATGATATCTCAGAATGTATTAAAATCAAATGAAAATATTGTCATCGATTGTGCCTACCACTGTCAAATTTGTCTTTTAGTTTCCTATAACACATATAATATAAGCCAGAAAATGGTAAATCTCGACCTAAAGTCGGTAATAAACCGATATAAAATCCTAAATTAACGAGAGGATATTACTTATAAAAGGAATATTTAATCGATGTGTTTACCTTTCCATCCATTGTTTTTATAAACGTTTTGCATAACATTAGTCATTGTCATCTCGGCATAGCGTGAACTCTGAAAATGAAAGAATCAACATCAGAACTTTTTTTGAAATAAAATTGAATAAAACAGACTTCTAGTCGCGTTTTGATTAAAGTAAATGGAAATATAATTAAATCAGCTGCACCGCGAGCAAAAGCGCCACAACACATATTAATTGGTACTGTTTGATGTTTTAATCTAAAAATAGAGAAAATATTACGGCTGATCTATTTTTAGTCTATTTTTAATTAACTTACGGAATTTTCTCCTTCAATACGTGCAACATCAAAAAATAACAGCCACTTCCTGGTACAGCTCGAAACAATGACTTAAAAGGGTAAAAAAAGAAAAGACCAATTAATTATAATTGAATCCGATACGATTTATCTGAAAGGAAGAAAAATACCGGAATCAAACCTCGCCATAATCTCGTTATTGTATACGATTGTAATGTATGACGAGTCACCGAAACAATCGTACGTTTTGTTAAACTAAAAATAAACACCATACTGTGTCATCGTCTTTCTCGATCTTTCATAATGAAGTTTTTGAATAAAAGTCTTCGAAACAGTGACTAGTCACAGGTGGATCCTGTACTTTCCTCCCTCTAGAAATTTAGCTAAACTGGAAAGAATAGAATAAAATATCAACTATCAACAACTGTCAATAAAATATCAACTATAACAGATCAAGAACTGTTTAATGGAAAAATTTTGGCTCATCCCTTATAAATAAGCAGCAACACGTTATCTAACGATGTTTTTGGCATAAAATAAAACATAACAAAATACTTACTCAGTTTTTGGTTCTTGAACTTGTGTCTTGAGATAATCGAGCGGTTGATAGAGCGTCGTTGTAATCAATGCACTAGCAGATCCCGCAAAAAATGGATAAAGCGAATAGGATGATTGTGAACTAAAAGAGACAGTAATACATCATGTACAGTGTAAAGTGATTTCCAACAAAAACGATAGTACAAAATAGAATACCATAAAGATTATTCATCTTACCTCAATGACATTTCGTTTCTTTTTCATATTACAGTTTAGTGTTAACACATCATACTAATCACATTTATAGAGTTTGTTGATAAAATGACAATTTTGCATTGTATCTTTAACAAGAAAAGAATAATTCGTCCGTGCTATTAAGTTGATATAAGATACTTTATGTTAGCGAAAAAGTCTACTTTGATTCATTCTTACAACTGCTACGTAATCAACTTCGATAAACAAAGTAAGTTAATATTATTCTTTTCTTTATTCGTATGGTATATACTAAATATTTTTTTGGCCATAAGAAGATAGCTCTGTTTACTATTAAATGTAGTAAATTCAATTATATACATTTCTAATAATTGTCTTTTCGTATGAGCACAATTTTGAAGCAAAATGTCATCAAGTTCATAGCAGCTTTAAATTTATTCTTCATAATTTATTCAAAATTAGTGTAACGTTTCGATACGTCAAATATCATCATCAGACAAAGATTACTACACATTATATACATTTCTGATTGAAAGTGAGTCTCTATGGATAGAGTAAAAGTAAAAAATTTCAAAGAAATACATATGCCTTCTAGTCAGGAAGCTATGTATCTCAAAGCTTTGCTTCTTCCCAAGAATTTTATAGTTGAAGAATAGATTATCTAATTCAAATTCGTTTTTCTCAGAAAATGAAACAAATATAAAAAAACAATAATACATCACACAAATACTAACAGTGAAAGTGAGCAAACAAAGAAACACAACGGGATATTCCTATATAACGGAAATATGTAACTGTTTGAAAAATACTCAAAAAACAAATGCATAGAAAAATCCGTTCAGCACGAACACAAGAAATAGCCTAAAAAGAGAAAAATAGAGCAGAATTACAAAATATTTTAGAGAAAGATAAGATACATTCACAGATGGTACATAAAAAAATAGAAAAAACAAATTACTAGTTTAGAGAGTGTTAACCAGGTTTCTGTTCTGTTTTCTTTCGTGTCTCTCTTGGTTGTGTATCTGTTTCTTTTTCGTCAATACTATTAGCCACTTTTTTGGAACCTAATGGTAGATTTAACAAAATAGATCGGATTGACTTCAAAAACGGATAATCGTCTACATTTACGATGCGATTACCTAGAAATAAAAATTACTTTCAATGATCTATACTTACAAGTTGGAACATCGACGTCGCTGATCAAGTTTATTGTCAAGAAATACCTACAGTTCGTTGCCACGCCTTATGGATCGATCGGACAATATTGCCTGTTCTGACAAGATATCAAAGTCCGAAACGAATCAGGTTTTCCTGATGCGATCTGATCGGGAGAACTGTTTTGAATCCTAAGTCGGTTCGATTTGATTCAACATTTTTTGAAATCAAATTCGGTTCGGCAAAAAGTGGAATCTAATGCGATCCGTTTCGGGCTCTGCAAGATATAGCGCTCAATCAGGCAAGATTTCGTCTGATTTAACTGAAAAAAGCCTTGTAAATAGGGTTTCCAGAAAACTGCTTCAGTGGTCTCTCAAGTACCAGACCAGTACCCAGAAAAATATTTTCAACCTTTAATCCTGTAGAACTCAATATTCTGATGAAAATGAAATCTGTCCGAACTCTGTGCGATCTTCCTTCACCGAGCGTTAAAAGGTCAAAAAATGACGAGAAGTGGTCACAAGCACAAAAAAACGTCGTGTACCGTTTGGAAAAACAAGCAAGAATCACCTTTTGTCTCATTTTCATCAGAATTTGGAGTTCTACAAGATTAAAAAGTTGAAAAAATATATTTTCTGAAAATCCTATATAGAAGACTTTTTACGAAACAGCGATATGTACCTCATCTGGTAGAGCATCATTTTAGCTATCCAAATCCCCATTTACTCTTATTCTGACTAGTCGTTTTCACTGAAAAATTTCGAAAATGGCTTACTCTTACAATTTTAACTGTATACCTTGAATATGTAACGACTAAAAAGGATCTTTCATCTACTTAGAGGAAAGGGAACAAGAAAAGAAGTTAAACTATAAGACGATTGACGTTATAAAAGAGAAAAACCGAAAGGATAAATGCACATCTGTCAGACCGTTCCAGTAGGAAAAAGCATCTTCTGGCTACATTTTTTTGTGCAGATACATACATTTCAGTAGTTTACATTTACTACCTCTCTTTATCTCGCTTTTAATCTCTGCCCTTCTTTTTTCTGACTGACCGTATATATTTTCATCGGGCTCATTCATCCATTCATGAGTATCAAAACCTCCACGACTAATGCTTCACCAAAAAATGACTGTAGGCATGGATGAATACATATTTAATTTAATTTTTTATTGCAGCATGATAGACAAATACTTCAATTTATAAAGACTACTGGATAGTGCTTACCATATGAGAACATTCTACTGCTGTTTTTTTCTAACAGACTAGCCAAAAATTGCCCGTTTGAGTTTTCCCAATAGGCCTTCGTCACTTGATGATTTGTCTATAACAAAGAGAGAGAATAAGATAGCAGCTGTTGTTTTTCTTTCAAGAACTGAATTGTATACTAGGAAAACTCAAACAGGGCAATTCTGATCTTTTTAGAGGTCAAATAACCAAAATAGTTGACAGCCATTTACCTGTTTTAGTTTGCGTTAAACCATTCACTGTTCCTTCAACGTCTTTATCAATTTCGGCGTACGCAAGCATTAGCGCTTTTTGTTCTGGTGATAGTCGTCTAAAAATTTAAACATCGAATAATTTAAAATTTATTAAAATTAAAGATAAACTACATACACTGGTACTTTTACTTTGACATGAACATAATGATCGCCTGTTCCTGGACTATGAATACGCTTAATTCCTTTGCCAATTAGTCGAAAACGTTGATGAGATTGAGTTCCAGCAGGTATCTAAACATAGAAAATGAACAAGAATTATAGGAAAAAGAGAAACTTTTGTTCGCTTAGTATACTTGTAGAAGATGATCTTCGTAAATCCCTGGTACTTTAATTGCTCCACCGAGTACGCATTGCGCTATAGATAAGTTAATTTCACTATGAATATCTTCCTTGTCTCGTCGAAATTTTTCACTGGCTTTTACCTGCAAAATAAAATTAGCTTTTTCTCAAAAAACAAATAGTAAACAGGAAAAAAGTAGTTTGTATACTTACTCTGAACGTAATAAATACTTCTTGTACGCCTAAATTTAGTCTCATTGTTTGTCCTTCTTCCACACCTAGATGTTCAAAGTAGAAAATCTATTTAAAATGTGAGCTCGTTTTTTCGCGAACAAATCGTACCTGCTGGTATTGGAATTGATGTTACTTTTTTTTGTATTGTTTTTCCTTTTCCACTACATTCATAACATGGTTTTGGTATTGTTTCTCGTCTTCCATGACAAGTACGACACGTTGATCGCATAAAAAACGGTCCAGTTTGGATTGTTTCCTAAGAATAGAACGAGCGCAAATCGTACTGCTTAGAAGACAATTATTTATCAATTTTACCATTCCTGTTCCATTGCATGTACGACATTTTTGTGGTTGATAGCCAGATGCACATCGCGTACCCTTACATACACTGCATACATCAACTATTTTCAAATTAACTTCTTTGTTACAACCGCGTACAGCTTCTTGAAATGTTAAATCCAAGACAAGCTACAAATACAAAAAGATACAAGATAAAATTAAATGTCATTCTGTAAGAGACTGAATTACTTGAGTTGTGCCTTGTTTGCCGTAGATATTTTCATCGGGCTCATTCATCCATTCATGATTACCAAAACCTCCGCGACTGAATGCTTCGCCAAAAATTTTCCTGAAACCGAGCAGTTCTGATAAATGTAATATATAACAATGAAAAGTACTTAGACTATAACCATCATTCCCTATACAAAATTTTGTTTATGAGTCTCTGTCATCAGTGTTTGTTTCGACTAAATTCTCTGTAAACTAGTTGCACAGCATGACTGAGTAATTTGCGAATAGTTTCTGCAAGAAAGAGTGTGTACCTAAATAATTCCTCTGGATCAACTTCACTTTGGTAATATTCATAGCCTCTGAAATTTTGACCTGGATCAGATCCAGGTGATGGACCACTTCGTGGTGGAGGTGCTGAATTTCCAAATGGATCACTGCCCATGCCATACATATCATATTGTTTCCGTTTATTCTCATCACTTAGTACCTAAACCATAGAAAACAAATGTGAATAAATTACGTCGAATGTTTCTTGTTTCTCTTACCTCATAGGCTTCAGACACTTCCTGAAATTTTTTTGGTATATTCGGGTCTTGAGTATTTTTGGTTGTATCTGGATGATATTGTTTAGCTAACTACAAATAAAACAAAACAAGCAATCAGACTCAATTCTTTGATGAAAAATAATTGTCCTTTTACTTGATAGTAAGCTTTTTTAATTTCTTTTGCTGTAGATGATTTTGGTATTCCTAATACTTCATAATAATCTTTTTTATGTCTTATCGACGATGAATGAATTGTTCGTGAAAACGAGAAAACTACAAACCAACAGAATATTATTCATGGAGTTTATCGATAAATGTACAAACAAAATCATACCAGCCAAAATGTTAGCAACATGATTGTTATTATTCAACAACAATAAACTTTTAATTGGACTATGAATACCGAAGGATAACAAACGTTTTGTCATCCATAAACGCTTATTTGTCACAGAGGATTTAACATAGGGGTACGTCGCAATCGATAAACGAACAACACACTTAGAACACACATACATAGGAATTTAATACAACACAAACAGTTTCTTATCTAAAAGCAGACAATTTTTTAATAAATAAAAGCGATCAATGTTAAAACTTGAGTTTCGAAGACAGTCAAAAATCCAAATTTCAACAACAATTTTCACACAATCTTTGAATAAATAACATTCTTCTATAGTTTTTACTTGAAGAACGAATTTAACTGTTAACTTTAAAAGTAGTATGTATTCAGTCTTATATGAACGACAGTGAGTGGCAAAAGACTTGCCAAAAAAAGATTAGAGACAGTTTCTTCACCCTTCCTTATGTTTTTAATTATCAGTAAACATCTCATGATTTAGTCTATCGTACAAAAATACGCCCAAAATGTCGTTTGTAAGACAGAGAATCCCAAATCTTTTATAATCAAATCATGCTCGGCATCAAGTCGCATTTTTATCTTCTAGATGCAGAAGATGCTGGAACGGTCTTGGTGCAGTTTTAGTACAATCAGAAAGAACCTACTGTAAATTTATTTTTACAAGCTTTGCATATTTTGTTTCATTCATAAATCACTTGAAGAATTTTATTTTCGAACAGGTTCTGCAGCTATTGCATCAGCCATATGATTATTTAACGAAATTAGCAGCGCTACAGTACAGAGTTTTCCATTGAGGTTTTCCATTAAGTTTTTCTTACGTTAATTATTTGACATGCTATTAACGATTTGAAGGCGAACACTTTTTTAAATTATTCGAAAGGATGTATGTGTATGGGACGGTACAGGCGACATCTATTCGAGTATTATTATGACCCAGATGAGAGAAAGAAACACAGATGATAGCTAACTACAAAAATTGTCGTAAACATTCAAAAAATAGATTTTTCTTTACTGTGAGAAAAATAAAATTAGGAGTGAAAAAACAAAAATGCTCCAGAAAACATCAACATTGAAAGTATGAAGCCATATGCTTACGAAAGGCATATTTCCTTCTAAACTACGGCCATTTTAAATACAAACGCGTTCTAACACTTCACACGTTTGGCGCACGGTCGCACGCTGTTCGAACATGTTCAAAGTGATCATAGCGTTCCAAACGTGTGCAGATGGCGTTTAGGTCGACCTGGGGAGTATGATACATTACTTTTTTGTAAGATTATTTAATCAAGCAAATTAAAGTAAAATTTTTATCCTTTTCTAACAAATATCATATGTAACATGAGCTGCAAGCTTTTTTTATACGACAAATTCCGTTTACAACAACTGGTATCGCAGTTACCCATTGCGGCACTTTTTGACGAGATGTGTCATTTTTTTTGATTTATTATTTTTTTTCATAGAAAAATCAATTTAAATCGATTTTTTTGATATTAAAAATGTTAAACGTTAAAAATTGATTTATTATTCTTTTACTCGAAAAATTCATTTAGACCGATTTTTTCTTTTGAAAAAAACCTATTTAGATTAATCTTTTTAGAATTCTTTTAGAAAAATCTGTTTAACTTAATTTTTAAAAAAATTCATTTAAATTCATTCTGTGTAACGTTTCGTGCAAAAAATCTATTTAAATTCATTTCTTTCTCAATGAATCTGAATTTTGGTTCTTGTAAAAGTCTAATTTGAATTTCCTTTTTCTTCAAATCAAAGATAAAATGCACTTATAGATTTTTTCAAAACTAAAACCAGATTCATTGAGAAATAAATAAATTTAAATCGATTTTTTACACAAAGAGTTACGCAGAATGAATTTAAATGAATCTTTATAAAAATTAATTTAAACAGATTTTTCTAAAAGATTTTTAAAAAAGTAAATTTAAATAGGTTTTTTCAAAAAAAATCGATTTAAATTGATTTTTCCATGAAAAAAAATAATAAATTTCAAAAAATAGCATGTTTCTTCAAAAAGTACCGCAGTGGGTACTCTTTTCATCACACATTTTACACTTCTTTGTCATATGAGACTCTCCCCTTTTGAAATTCTAGAAGTATTGCGATCGTTCGCTATAAGCCTCAAAAGTATTACAGATTTTCAAAGCTTAGCATTTTATTCAAGAGATAGTTTTGATTTCCATGTCTTCAATATCGATAAAATACCGTCGGTTACCAAAGGGTATATGGCACACTTAACCGACAAATTACCGCATGGTTAACACGGTATTAGCTGTACCAGTCGGTTACAGATCGGTAATACCGGCGGTATTTTCATTCTGAATACAGAATAGGAGTTCGAAACTAAGTTGGAACTTTCATTTTTTTTGATTTTTATCGAGCGCTTACAAGCGCAGAACGACTCCTTTAAGTAGGAGAAAGTTTGACTCGAGTCGAAACTTAAATTTAAACGAGTCTGAAAATTAATAAAAAACAATTTTATCTGAAAATAAATCAAGTTTTTTTCGAGTTTTGGCGTTGTTTATATGTAATGGCTGCTGCAAAACAAAATGGTGAATGTAAAAATCGGTTTACCGCTCGGTATTTTGTCATAGCGTGGTATAGAAAATAACCGTCGCTAAATCACATGTTTCATCAAGTGGTACGGTTTAGCGATGATAGTTTTTCGAATCACAAAAAAAGTGCGACATGGGTTTTCTAGTTTCGATGTATGAAACTGTAAAAATCTGCTATATTTCCACATTACATTATGTTACATTTATAAATCACCAGATTTTCATCGTAAAAAAAGATAAGCGACCCACTAACAAAATAAAGTAAAAAAAAACAAATGATATCTGTCATTTTGAACTATTCATCTTTTCTCAGAAAATATCACGCACTAAGAGAACCAGACGAGGTTACGAACCAGGTTATGTGCCCAACGGCGTGAAATATAACAAGCCGGGCGCATGACAATTCCAGATTAGTTCATAAATGAATCTAAAAAATTCATTCAATACAACAGACTGATTTTCCATGAGATGAAATTTTTGTCCCATCCCATACATAGTTTGAAAACTTTCATCCTATCCCGTCCCGTCCTACGACTTGTTTATCTTGTCCTGTCCTGTCTCACAGATACTTTAAAAGTTTCGTCTCGTCCCATAGGATTTCATGAGATTCCCGTCCCACGATGATCCCTGGTCTCAAATTATATTTTTCGAAGAGGGAACGCTAAATGTCATGTCATTCTAAAATACCCGATAAACTCAACTAAAGTCACATATTTACAAAAGACTCATGGTTTATTTCACTTTTCTACTTGCAACAACGGTCTCTATTGTTCATTTCAATAACAAAAACAAAAGTTACGGACAACTGAGCATTATAACTAAGCTAATTATTGGCAGGTTTACGTTTCTTTTTTAACATGTGAATATTTTCTACTAGAATAAACTTCTTTTAAAAAATTTGAAGCCTGTTTCTCAAAAGAACTTAAGTATTCCACTCAAGTGGATTTAAAACCACTCATATTTTAACAAATTTAGATTATTTTGTTTTGATTAAATTTTTTGAACAAAATCCTTTTAAAATTATTTTGTATCTAATTTATTGTGGGTCCGACTACGACAAAACGTAAAATAAAGGAATCACAAATTATAAATAATTTTTCACTTAAAAAATTAAGTGAAAACTTAATAGTAGTCGAGAGCCCTTAATTGAAGATGCTTTCGAGAAACTCACTTAACAAAAAAATCTTACTGAAGTTAAATTTTTTACTTAAGCAAAACTTAAGTGTTTTTGAGAAACAGGCTTCAGTATTTGATAAAACATGTGTATGAAAATCTATACGATATTACTGTATTATTTATATTCATATTTATTCTTTCTATCAGATTTTATTGACAAACTTATATCACACATCTAATGAGCCAGGAGACGCGTACACGACAGAGAGAGTGATTTTCTATTGATGATTCTATTTGCTACAAACTGTCCAAGCATCTATATGATAATGATCTTTATGGCAAGACATGCTAAAGAGGCGCAAATCTTTACAGATTAGGTAATAATTCGTCAATCAATACTTTTCCTCTCAAATATGACGCAGAACTATAACTTCAAAAAAATTGCCAGTGGGGGACAAAACGATCGAATGGGGAACATTTGAGAATCCTTCCTCAAAGGGATATTTTTACTATGCCGATCTGCAAATTTCTGCAACAGATCTGCACTCATTTTGCTCATATCTATTGCAGTTTTTCGGCAGATTCTCTGCGAAATCTATAACGAATCTGACAAATTGAGAACCGCTTTCTAGCTTTCTACTTGGTATCTCTCTTTTTTTGTTTTTAATGAAAATTGTTTAATTGACTACAACAAATATTCTGAACCAGTTGCTTCATTGCAGCTGAAATAACCGCGGTTGACCGACGGTTTTCGAGAGATTTACACAACATGGGGATCATCTTCTATAAAGAGTATAGTTCATTCTAAGCGACAGATTTCAAGCATAGATAGTTAGATTCTTAGATAAGAAACCGATTTCTAGCATACATGCTCAACTTTCTAGTTAACGACAAGTTTTCTTTAAAGAGAATTATTGATGATGTTCTTGAATCCTTCATATACTATAATCTTGAAAATTATTTATAGAAAATCGCCGTTGATTTTCAGAAAGTCCAAATATGAAATCGCCAAGGATTTTCTATTTTATAGAAAATCGAATTTCCAAGAATCTAGAAAATCCTCCTGAATTTTTAAGATTCTTGGGAATTATTTATAGAAAATCCATGTCCATTTTCTATAAAATTGAAAATAATTCAGGATTACAGTGTATGTGTTTCTGTAGACAAAAACTTGTTTTCTTCGTTGCAAGGTAAATGAAAATATCTTATGTGAAGATGACAAAACACAAAATATCATTCTTATCTGCAGCGCAAAGGTTTTATCCTAATAATCAAAATGATGATGAAAATAGCTGTAGTTAAAAAAGTTAAAAAACTTTTAGTTTTTTACCTTTTCTCCTTTATTATAAATGTATCGACCGACGATCCTTGTAAATATGTATCATCTAAGGGTGTGATCGATCTTACGTCGGTTGGCAAGGGTCAACCGACATTCAAAGACATGATGGCAGAAAAAGGGCTCGATTATGGTAAGTTTTCTTTCACCTTCAGCTTTAAAGTATTCTATTTCATTCTTGCCCTTTAGTTTATTCTTATAATCCATGTACACCGTTTACAGAAACAGATTTGTGTTCAAATGTTGCTGGTTGTCAAAGTAAGAACATTACTATATTGGCAGGAGAGTAGCTCGGAACTATCAGGAGTATTTGATGACAAAAAAAACTATTTGTCGATTTGAGATGTATTAGTGGGCCAGATAAGTTAGAAGTTCACGGCGAAGGATCAATCAATGAATACCATATGACTTTGAACAGCAAGTGTGTTTGTTGGAATGCATGTACAGGTGGTTTTAATCCGGATAAGCCAAAAAAAGGGGGATTAAGTGGTGGTTCTATATTAATTATTATTGTTTTTTGTCTATTTATTGTATATGTTCTAGTATTCGTCATATATAACAAGTTCCATTTAAAACGATCAGGTTTTGAACTTTTACCACATCCTGTGTTTTGGACATCATTGCCTAGTCGTGCAAAAGATGGGGTACAATTTACCTTTCGGGCTATGTTCAGGACCAAAGAAGCAACCGGAGGCTATCAATCAGTTTAAGTTGGTCTCAGAACTCCATATGAAGTGGACTTTGAAACATTTACAAAGCAAACTTTTTATTGAATACTCTTGAAGTTTTCGATATTTGTCAACGAAAAACACTTTTTACACAGTAAGCTCTTACTAATTAGAAACGTTTTTCGTAACCCACTCAATGAACTGGACTACTATCCATTTCAATGAACCGTGCAGGAGGATGTTTTTTGAATAACTTTTTAACAACAAAAGCTAGCGACCTGAGATTTTCGCCAATCAAAAGAGAACAGTTGGGGCAACAAACCTATGTGAAAATAAAAATTTTCCAAAATATTTTCCTAATTAATTAAAATTAGCGAAATTTTTCAAAATTTAGCCTATTTTGGGGTAGAAAAGTTTTTTTTATTTTATTCGCTGGGTTTGTAGATCTCGAGGTCCTCTTACGAATGATGTCTAAGCGACCCCAAAATTTTGCCGAGATACAAGTGTTGTAAAAATGGCTCACTTTTCCCAAAATTCGAGTTTTTAGTCGTAAAAAGTGTCATTATATAGGTATTCGAGTGCATTGATCATCGTGCTGATGTCACTTTTTTGTTTGCAGGCGAAAAAGATGAGTTAACAGAATTTTCTGAAAAAGTGAGTTTACTATTGGAAAAGGCAAAATATGCGGTTTTCACATAGGTTTGTTGCCCCAACTGTTCTCTTTCGATTGGCGAAAACCCAAGGTTGCTAGCTTTTGTTGTTAAAAAGTTATTCAAAAAACATCCACCTGCACGGTTCATTGAAATGGATAGTAGAGTTTTGGGGTCCAGCTGAAATTCATCTTCAATCAATATTGAACTGACAAGCCTTAGAAAAAATTCGATCGAAACCGCAGCAATAGGTATAGATGGTTACATTATATTATACTATTTTGCTACCATTTATATCTCAAGAAGACTTGAGTCGCCCTACCGCAATATTGACTAACAAGGGAACCTCTCGAAGTAATTAAAAGCTTTTCGACTCAGACTATTTTCATCATGTAGGGAATACTCAGTAGTGAAAACCCCAAGTTGGTTTGGGCCCATGCGCCTTTTTGACGGAGATATGAGTTAATTAATGAAAATGCCATTAATAATAATTAATTAATATCTCACGACCATGATCAGCTAGGAGTCGGAAATTTATACCACAGTTGAAGATAGATGTTGTCTACTCACTGCGACACTTTTAGGCTTATAAATCAAAGCTTTTGCAAGAT